TTTTTTTTTTTACCCAAATAGTTCACTTTTTTCTCTTCATGCAGTTCAAAAGTCCTTAAAACACAGAAGAGTAAAGCATTTTGGTTATGAATTCCACTATGAGAACAACAATGTAGATAAAGATAAACCATTACCTGGGGGTAAGTAATTGTTAATCAATGCTGGTTCAGAAAAAAAGATTTAATAAATATTAAAAATATATCATAGTCAATGGTGTTTCATTGTCATATGTAGGTAAATTTTTGAAACAGTTGATTAAATTGAAAACATTTTAATTAGCTAAATAGTGCAGTTTTCTGTTAAAAAATTCATATATACAGGTAACGCTGAAGTTCCTCTTATATACTATCCTTACTTCCATACTAACAGTTTAGTATATATTATTTTGATTCTTTAAAAAATGAGTTTGCATTCCAAATATAGATGCCTATAAAAGTATATAGTTAACACGTTGTATTATATTTATGTTCTAAGTTGTATGTTCATATATTACATGTGTCACTCCAAATTGTTCTTTTCCCTTTATAATACGTCTTAGAGATCTTATATGGTTTTTCATTTAATTGAATGACAATAATAGCTTATTCAGTTAGTTCCCTTTGGATAGACACTTTGGTTATTTGTAGTTTTTAGCTTTTATAGGTAGTGCTGCAGTGAATATCTTTGTACATGCCTCTTTATGCACCAAGAGTTTCTAAAGAGAGATTACTAAATTAGAATTGTGTTAAAGTTATTTTCATTTAAGAATGTTAATAGGTACTGACAAATTGCCCCCTAAAACAGCTGTACTAGCATATTCTCAGCGAGTGTACACTTCCTCACCCCACCCCAACCAACATGTGATATTGTAAAACCTTTAACTCTATAATTACATGATTACTTGTGAGGCTGGCCATTTGTATTTCCTTTTCTGTAAATTCTTTTTCACATCCTTTACCACTTTTTTCTAATGGGTTGTCTAATTTATTAATAAGAATTTACTATATAATATGGATATTAATCCTTTGGTAGAATTCTTTGTTGGAGTTTAATTTATATATATTTTTACGACTTTGGTTTTATTTAAGGGTGTTTTCCCTCACGAAATAACATTTATGATTCTAATAAAATCAAGTTCCACTTACAAAAGTTTTTTTTAAAGAGAAATAATTTAAAATAAATTGAATCATTTAAAATAAGAAAGTGGTCAGGTTGATTTCCAGTATATCTTACAGTAAATGTTATAAGTTTATTCTTGTTTTACAAAATGCCAAAATTGTTATTTTGGATGTTTTATTTGATAAAATCTATGTAGTAAACTTTAAAAGATTCTTAAGAAGGTTTTCTTTTCATTTTGCTTTGCTTATGGGTTTATTGTTATATCTGGATCTGATTACTAAATTAAAAGGTGTGTGATTTTTACCAGTGACTTTTTTTTATTCTTGAGTAAAACATGCAAAGTAATATATTTCACCTTTATGATTACTGACTTCAGGTCTTCCTGACATTTGTGATAGCATTTTAGAGAAATGGTTGAAGGAAGGTTTCATTAGACATAAACCTGATCAGTTGACTGTAAATCAGTATGAACCTGGGCATGGTGAGTATTTCTTCTTTTAAAATTCTAGTCACAAGTAGATTATATAACTCTCTAATATCAAAGATATAGTATTTTTTAGCTCAAACTAACTCTTAAAATAATTTGCTTATGTTACCTATGTTGACTTTAATCCTTTGCAAATCTCTGTCAATCTCTTAAGAAACTTGCATCTCAAAGTGTAAACAGACTGTTGCAATTGCTATTTGTGATTTTTTGTTGTTGCTGTTGCTTGCCTCCCAGTGTTCTATTTAGAAGTGTAGAAGAGAAGATTGCTTTAAAAACATAGGAGACATGTAGAATGGAAGAAACCAAATAATTTACAGATGCAGGCCTACTTTGTTTTATTGTGCTTCACTTTATTGTATGTCGTAGATGCTGTGTTTTTTACAAATTGAAGGCAAAGCCCTCTACCAGCCAAAAGCTTACAACTCACTTTATTGTGATGTTTGCTTTATTGTGGTGGTCTGGACTAGAGGTATGCTTGTACAAAGACAAAAGGCTAGTTGGTTGGATGATCTTGGTCTTCTTTCTCCTCTGTTGAGAGTGGAAGGCAATTCTAAGATGATATGTTAGTGAAAAATTAGGTTATTGAAATTTTGCACTTGTTAGTATCTTTATCGATATTTGTAGTAATTAAGTGATCTTGAGTTTTATTAATGGCAGGAGTTGTGGGTTGTTGTTTACCCTCCATTTATTACAGTGTATTATGATTGCTTATTTACCAATCAATCTTTTCATTGGTCTGTAAGCTCCTTGAGGACAGAGACTATATCTTACAGGCTTTATATACTCTCATCATGTAGCAAAGTTTCTTTTACTTGAGATGCTCCATACCATAGATTAAGGAAACCATATATTAATTATTTATGTGCTTAGTCTTCACAACTGGCTATTGCTTTTATTCTGCAAGTACTTGGGAATCCTGTGTTTAAGGGGAAAAATGATATTGTTATTTATTTTTCACATCTTCCTCTTGGACTGGGATTGAGTAAATGTCCTCGTTAACTCTCAAGTCTTGATTTTAGAATCGAGTCACAATGACACTTTAACATGAAGTTAAGATATTTTAGTGTAGATTTAGTTTATTTACTTAGTCACATTTACCCTAAATGGTTCCTTGTAACTAAAATTATAGTACATTACTGATTGTCAGCAGTTATTTTCACCATAACAGTGTAAGACTATATTGAGAGTTGTTTTAAAGCTATTAACAGGAAAAATGAAGTAATGTGTTTTCCTATCTTCCATCTCAGGAATTCCTGCTCATATTGACACACATTCTGCTTTTGAAGATGAGATCATTTCTCTCAGTTTGGGGTCAGAGGTAAATGTTTAGACATTTTTATTAGTTTTTAACAAATGCCTTACCTTATACAATACCCTTTTTTAGGTTTTCCTACATTTGTAAATTCAGATCAATTAAGATTTTAAAATGAAAAGTAAAGGCACCATTAGCACTTTTATTTCTTACAGAATGTGAAATTATCATAGCCTCTTCTTTTAGGTGTCAAAAGTTTTCTCTATAAGCTCATCAGATGCCAGGAAGAGCCCTGTAATTTAATTTTTTACACATTTTACTTTTAGAAGTTTAAATCCAGTCTTCCCTTGGTGCAATAACTTACTGAAGCAGCATTGCCATCTTGTGGCAAAAGGTAAGTAGCTGCAGGCTATAGAAAAAGGAAACTGAATGTACATGTCTAGAATTTTGATTAAAATTTTTCTCATACATTACTTGATTCAATCCTTTCAAAAACTTTGAGCAGTAGAGGATAATGTCTTCTTTTTTACTGATGAGGAATGAGGTTCGTGTTAATTCATTGACTTGTTTCATAGCTACACTTTACTTGAACTGCCAAAGAAGGTATCCAAAGCATGATTTAAAATGATGCATGCAAAGTACAGATAGACTTTTAGATAGAAATCAGGATTTTAAATCAAGAAGAATCTTAAAATATGAGGTCATCTAATATAACTATAGGTTGCTTCAAAATCTGCTCTTGTTCCTAGAGGCAAACACTATTTACTAGTATTTTTTTGTATATGTGTAATTCCCATCACTCGGTGTTCATTGCTTTGGCTTTTTAATTTTTGCTGAGCTCATGGTGATCATGTTGATATTGTAACTAGAGCGTAGTGCTATTTTTTTGATAAGACAAAACCATTTTATTAACTACATTCTTATTAAGTACTTTCAAAAATAATGAGTATGGGAAGGAAAAAGAAAAAGCTCTTCTCTGTCTGGTTTATTTTCATTTTACCTCTTATCCTGGCTTGTAGCTTTAGGGAGCCAGTAAAGAACATCTTTGCCTTTTCCTGCCAACGGTTTCACCAATTGAGAAATGAGACAAAAGATGAATGGAGATCTGAATGTCAACTTAACTACTGAGAAGACATGGAAGAACATGCTTTAGATCTGTAGCCAAGTAGACTTGTTAATACTTCACCTTTGAATTAGAGAGGCATACCATCCTTTTCACTGACACAGCCAGGCAACTAGAAACCTCCCTCACAGAGTCAGAGGCTGCTCCTATAACATAGGACATGAAGGAGCACATACTAGATTCTGCAAACCAGCTGGATCTGATAGAGAGGAAAGGGCTCAGCCAAGCAAGCGTGGCTTCAGACTAACCAGTCAACCAAGGCATGCCTTCTCTTCTGGGGAGTTGGAAATTAGGGAGCGGAGAAAAGTGAAGTGTGTTCAGCCTATACTTTCACTTTTACATATATTCCTCCCCTTCTAGGGAAATATGAAGAATGGGAACTAAATGTTCCTCTCACACCCCACAAGGTCATTATGTAGTTTTCAATTAAAAGTTGTAAAGAAGGGGAAACTTGCTCTTTAGTTGAACTGAGAATTTGCTGTAATCATTATCTCCATTTGGTGTCTCTAGAGGCATATCATTTTTAGCTGCCAATTTGAGTGAGGGAGTTTTTGGTTAAAGCCATCTTAGTAATAACAAGAAAGCATGTATACTATTAGTTATGACAAGAACAGTAGGTTTTCTTGTGGAAGATAACTTTTGAGAGGAAGCGAATCTTAGTAAATTTTTAAAAAATATTTATTAAACATTTAAATTTATTATACTATTTAAAACAGTCTGGGATATTTGGTGCACTTTATTCCATCTGTAAGTGGGATTAATAATACCTCTTGGCAGGCTCTAGGATTGTTATGGGAATAAAACAAATTAATGAATGTCAAAATGTTTTTCAAACTCAGAGCAATCCATACTTATAATAATACCTCTTGGCAGGCTTATTAAGGTGTGCTGCTTCTTGGACTCCTTATTTGAAAGCTTCACTTCTATATCAAAGGGAAACTCATGTTCTCATGGCCTTGTAATAGGATTCAAGTAGTTGCCAGAAAGATGGCTTTCATCTTTTCTTCTTGCATTTATCCACTTTTGCACCCTGTGCTCTTCTGTTTTGTTTTTGGTGCTCTGTCATTACTTGAATTCTCTCTTAGCCCCTTGTCCCAGATCTAGAGTCTGGGTGCCATACTTTTGTCCCTTTTTCTTTATTTACTCATTGTTGATAGCCTAATTGTTTTAAGAAATTTATTATAGTGTCGACTCCAGCTTCTATTTCATTGTAATATTTGTCAGTGGCACCTTTGTTTTGGTTTATTATTAGTGTTTATTTTGTTTGTTTCTCCTTGGCTAAAATCCTTGAAGTTATCTTTAACTCTTTACTTTCTTCCCTTTCACAGAAAATTTATAAGACCTCCTAACTCTTAAGTTGTTCCCATGTGGTATTCTTAACTTTTATATAAATCTTATTTGAATGTTCTGTTTTTATGATTACTTGAGAGTATTCTTAAAACTCTTATAGTTCACCTAAAAAATACTGTACATTTCATAGTGAACCAGAATTTCTCAAATTTATTAATTTTGCCTGTATAACTGGATTTTAATTTTCTATTATGCTTTTGTGCCTCCAAAAAA